TTCCCGTCGCCGCGTCCCGCTGTGGGGCCACGCGCGCACTGGCTGAGGACCGCCCCCCCCCGTTGGTAAGATGACGCCCGAGCTGAAGCATGTCGGCAGCATGTTCTCAGCATCAGGAAGTAGCTTCGCCGAGCTAAATGAAGGATTTCGCGCTACTGATCGCGCGTGGAATCATCTCCGCGGACTTCGGCGCGCAGGCCGGTTGGAATCCTAAGCGGCCATTATTCGGTGGGTGCGCCCACGGCGCCGCCGCGTCTGGCTGAGGATGCCATCTACGCAGCAGGGCGGGCGCCCATGCTTTCGACCCCAGTTTCATCGGCAATCTTCGATTCGCGCTGACGTGAAAGGGCGCATTCTGAAACCGATGGCGTCCGCGGGCCCTGGCGCGCCCTGAACGCATGGCGACGTTGGAAAGTGCCCCCCGTCGCGCTGGGGGCGGCCGTTCGCCGACTCAGCCGGTGGGCGGGGCATGCTCGCACATGCGCCGCGGCTCCCACGGGGCTTCTCGGGCGCCTTGGCGGCGGAAGGCGCGGCCAGCATTAAGTCCCCGACGTTGGCTAGACTGGCGCCGACAGCGTCGACGCACCCATCCGCGCGCGAGCGAAGCGGCCAGCCGCTGACATCGAGATGCTCCAATCCGTTCACCTGGGCGCGAACCTCGGCCGCGCGGCATCGAGCGCCCTGTGGGGGGCGAGGGGGTCCGCGAGGTGCGCGCGGCCATCGGCCCTCAGACCCTGCGCGCTGCCCCCCCTCGGCAATGGCGCCCGAACGGCGCGCCCCTCGAGGGCCGCGCGCCGCGCGAGGGGGGAATCGCCGGCGCCGGGGGGCGCCGAGCTTCGCGCGCGCGCGCGAGACCGAGCTGAAGGCCGACGGATCGACGCGTGGTCAGACCTTCTTGCTCATTCTTGCGACGAGCGCTCGCCAGACTGACGGCAATGGGCCGCGCCGCCCGACGCGGAGCGTTCTCGGCGCGCTCAGCCTGGACAAGAAGTGCTTCATCTGCCTGGCTGTCTCTCGGAGCTGCGATCGCTGCTCCGCGCGGGCGGCCAGCCCGCTGCGGCGCGCCAGAAGACAGCGCAGCGGTGGCAGCGCAGGCCCCCATCGGCCGCATTGAGTGCCCGATCTGAAGAGGGCACCGCCGGCCGCCTCTCCCCGCGCGCGCGGGGGGGGCGCCGAAGGCGAAGGCCAGCAACGCGCAGCGTGCAAACGCGCGAGAAGCAGCGCGACGTCATCCATATACGGGCGCTCTGCGTCAAGTCAGTCACCAGATACAGCGAGATCAGCAGCGCCGTTCTCTTCGCCCTCAACAGCAAGCCCTCGTTATGAGCGAGCAGCAGCGCGAGATGATTCGGCCCCTGTAAATGCCTCTCCGAAGCAGAACGGCCCCAGCTCCGAGCGTCGGCAGCGCGGGGGCGACCCCGTCATCGTCGCCAGATTCTCCGCGACTTCGGGTCTCGGCTCGGCCCGAGCCGGGCAGCCGAACGCGAGCGACGGCGTTTTTTTCCCGTGCGAAACTTCTCCGCCCCCGAGGAGGCCGAGGACCGCGGTCGTCTCGTCGGCGGCGGCGTCTTCGCGCGGGGGCCCAGCGGCGCCCGCGGGCCTTTTCGCCGGCGCCTGGGATTGGCGGGGCGCTCGCGCAGCCGGGCATGCATGATGTTCACGGCCCTGGTCGAGGCGGCCGCCGCCACGGTGGCCCGCGGCGGCGAGGACCAGACGAATATCCTCAAGCATTTCGAGGGCGTCGACGCGCGCGACGAGGCCGAGGACGCGCGGCAGTTCGCGAGCGCCGCCCCCGGAAGACGGCACAAGAAGACCAGGTCAGGATCGCGCTGGCAGCACATATGCCCCGCGATAAGAGGCGCGCGCTGATCGACGGGATGCGCCGGGTAGGACGGAGACGCCTTCGAGGCTCGGTCGGCACCAGCGCGGCACATGCAGGAGGAACTTCTGGAGTGGGCGGAGTGGCCCGAGGCAAACCAGATTGCGTAAGACCTGTCGCAGACATCCACGGCCAGGACCAACGTTGACCTTTTTTTTTCTGATGTTTGCCTATGGGCGGTTCTGGCTGTTGAGTGGGTGCGGCCTTTGGCTTAGTATCCACCGGCGCGGATGAAACGCCCCATGCGAATTTGATTTGCGTGGGATGGCTGTCTCACGTGATTGTTGTACTTATTCACGGTTGTACTCTGGTATCGGTTCGATATGCAAACATGTTTTGCGACCGCTTGATCGGAACTTCAATGCCACGAACGCCGTCGCCCCACCAAACTCTGAGCTGGTGACTCGACATGAGTGAGCGGCGAGGCGTTTTCGCTGCGTCGCGCCCACAACCGTTTTTTTGTGTCACCCTACCTCGCCCCGCGTGGGTTGCCCTACTGTCCTCCGCCCACCCCGCCGCCCCCGCCCGTCCTCAGCTGTTCAGCGTCTCTCTGGGTGTCAGGGCATGCAGCGGCGCGCCCCGCAGACCGCACTTGTGCTGGGCGATTTGTTTTTTTTGTTGCCCCTGCACTGCGTAGTTCTCAGCTGTGCATGTACGTTTTCGAAGCGGGCAAGGGGTCCCCGTGCTGACCCCGAAGTCCCCCTCCCCTTGGGTGCCGATTCAGGTACCACATTGCCATCACAACCATTGCCATCGCAGCCTTCATCGCCATCGTCGTCGTCATCAGGCTTATCATCACCATCACCATCACCTCCGTCATCGCCATCATCATCACTATCATCATTATCACCATAGCAGCCATCAGCAGCATCACTATCAACATCATGAGCATGATCGTCATCATCCTCACCATCCTCATCATCACCAGCATTAGCATCACGTGCAGCATCGCCAGCATCAACATCAGCATCATTATGTGCACAATCGTCGTCATCACCACCACCATCAGCATCAACAGCATCATCACACACATTCGACCACTCGTATTGAATAAGTCTCGAACGGGGACTGAGTGACTCGCGAGGAAGCCTCGAGCGGGAGCCCCTCATTATGGGGTCCCCACCTCCACGTTCGAATCCGAGGCGGCCATCGGAAAACCTTGTACAAGACAGAGTTTGGTGACCCCTGGGGCCTGACTTCCGAGAAGGTCTCGAACGGGAGACGCGTTCCCGAGCAAGTCGAGAGGGTGTCTTGAGCGGGAGCCCTTTTCTGCGAGTGCGTCGCGAGGACGTCCCGAGCGGGCGCCCCGTCCCCACGGGGTCCCCAGCTCACGCTGTCAATGTGAGGCGGCCGTCGGGGCACGGGGAGCTGGAGTCCCGGAGCAATCTCGAGCGGGGGGCCTCGTTCCTGAGCCGTGTGGGAGGGCGTCTCGGGCGCTCGCTGGCGAGTGGATCGCGGGGGAGTTCTCGAGCGGGGGCCTCGTTCCCGAGCCGTGTGGGGGGGCGTCTCGGGCGCTCGCTGGTGAGCGCATCGCGGGGAAGTCTCGAGCGGGAGCCCGCCCATGGGGCCCCCACCGGTTTATGGCATTGATCTTAAGTCGGGCCTGTCCCCCATACAGGGGGATTTTCGACGAAACGTAAGAAATCCTCCAACATACTCCAAACATGCTCCAAAAATATGTTGGGGACTATTGTTTGGTATTGTTTGACCTATGTGGGGTATGTTTTATTTATATATATATATAATAGTAAGAATAAGAATAATAGTAATAATAATAATAATAATAGTAACAATACTAATAATATTATTATTATTCAATAATAATAATAATGATGATAATGATAATAATACTAATAATACTAATATATATATATATATATATAAACGTCGAACACTGCTTTTAGGGCAACACGCCCGACATAACATTAATCCGAGGCGGCCGTTTGGATTCACAATGAATCACAGGTTTAGTGACACCTGGGAGCTTGAGACTTGAGAAAGTCTCGAGCGGGAGCCACGTTCCTTTGTCGAGCGTGCATGGTCATCCGAGGCGGCCATCCTGAGTCTAGCGTGTAAGCGTTCGGCAACGACCAGCAGATGCCAGACAGGAAAAGAGCCTCCGTAGTCACAAAGACGACGATGAGGTCTATTTCCAGACTTGTTTGTAAGATTATCAGGGGGGTCCCGTCGGAGTAAGTCTACGTTTCCGTCCTGTGATTTGGAGTCTTCTGTCGCCAGGCCAACTGTATTTCGTGCATTCCGGCGGGCAACCAGGTCAACATTGCTGGATTCGGGCCCAAATACCAGTCATGGCGCCAACATCGCAGAACGGATTTCGTTCGGAAAACAATATAATGGACCTGGAGTGTCCTGGGGAATTTCGTTCTGGATTTCGAAGTTCATGTCGTGCGGTTTTTTGGGCCAGGAATGAAAACTAACACACATCTACATGAAATTCACTTCGCTTTTCGCTCGCCATTTTGAGATTTGCATTGACAGAGATCCACGCAACAATCCGCTCCAGCACGTCTGCAAGGTCAGTGCAGTGACACCAGCGATCATTCGGTCCACGTCTGGCTTCCGACGGGGTCGGCACCCTTCGGCTCGGGAGGAGAACGGAGGGGGCGTCTTACCGATGTCTGGCAGGCGGGAGGCACAGCACGTCGCTCACGCGTTTGCTGCCGTGCCGTCCATCCAGGGGTGCCCCCTTGCGCGAGCGGTGCACGCCATTGCCGCTGACAACCGCTCGGCTGCTACACTCGGCGGCGCGCCGAAGGGGGGAAGTGAGTTACCAGGCCTTCTTAGAAGCCCTCGCGCCTTCCTCTTCCTCCTCCTCCTCCTTCTCCTCCTCCTCCTCCTCCTCCTCCCGTTCCTCCTCCTCCTCCTCCTCCTCCCGTTCCTCCTCCTCTTCCTCCTCCTCCTCCTCCTCAGGGAGCCCTCGCGCCTTCCTCCGATAAGACGACTGCGTCTTCGGAGAAGGCTTGGAGTTCTTCTCAGGAGGCGCGAGGGCGCTCGAGAAGCCCCGCCGCTGTCTGAGCAGGCCTGCGCCCTCGCACTCCCCCCTCGGGCTCACCGCCGGAGCAAACAAGAAGCTCCCTTCCCAGCCTGTCCCGCCCCGCAGGGCCCGGAGTGCCGGTTCGCCCACAGCGAGGCCGAGCTCGAGCCCTTGCCCGATTTAGCCTGCACAAAGCTCTGCCGTACGCTCCTGGTCTACGGCGCCTGCAACCTCCCCAGGCGCTTCGGGGCTCTCGATGCGCCGGGGACAGCACAGTGGACAGTACAGTGGACAGTCTTCTGTGTCTTTCCTTTCCTTCCGTCATGAACGTGGGAGATTCTCGCGAACAGTCCTCTTGTGCATACAAGGGCAACTGTCATCGCAGGAAGTACAGTGGACATTCTTCGGGGTAGGTTCGCGAGCATGAGGCGCTCAACCGAATGTGAACGCTATGATGCTTCGGGCCACGGCCCATTTCCTCAGTGTGCGCATGTGCGGCTCCCAGTATGACAGGGAGCGGTGCTCGATTCCAAGCTTGTGTCATCGTTCGGACGTGTGCATCTTTACGGCACGCACCATCGAGGAGCATGTTTGTTCACCCTGCGTTGGGATCGTGATTTTGTCAACCAAGGGTCGGCGACGAGCAAGGGGGGAAATGAGAAGGAGAAGGCCTTCTCAGAAGGCGGCGGGGCTTCTCGGAAGCCCTCGCGCCTTCTGAGAGGTTCTTTGTCTTCGGGGAAGGCTTTGAAAACTTCTGAGAAGGCGGGGGGAAGGCTTCCGAGCCTTCTGAGAAGGCTTTATCTTCCTCGCTTCCAACCTCGCTCGCCGCCAAAAGGCGCACTGCAAGAGTCAGGCGATCGCAAACATGGATCAAGGGGCGTGGATTAGCGACGGGTCCCGTTTCCGTCGGAACCTGCGGATTTCTGCCGCCGAGCGAGGCGACCTTTGCCGCATGTTGGGGAGGGCACCTCCCCCGATCCACCGAGTTGGCGACCGCGCGTCAGATCCATGGATTGCTAGTCCATGTCTGCGCGCCCCCGAGTCTTGGGGCCCTCTTGGAAGCCTCTTGGGCCGTTTCAAGGGCGGTCTCGGGGGTGTTTGGGGCCGTCCTGGAGCGTCGGAGAGCCGAGAAGGCGAGAATGCCAGAACTGAGGAAAATCACTCACTTTTGCCCCTTGGGGCCTTTTTGGGAGACCGCTAATCTATGTTTGCGCGCCCCCGACAGAGGATCAGGGGCAACGATAGGCGGGGATGGGCATAGGGGGGGAATGCATCGACCCCGAATCGCCCATTGATCGCCGATAGGGGCCCGACAGCCCCAACCTGCACAGGAAGGTTCGGATTCACGATCGGAGGCCCATCGCCGATCTGTCGGCGATGTATCGCCCATTCCAGGGCGATGCATACCCCAGGGCTGGACATAAACGGTGTTTTGGCGATTACGTGGGCCGTTGTCGGTTGGACTTCGTTTTGCGGCAAAGGCGAATCGAAGACAAAACGAGGGACATCGAAAACAACACGAAAGCGACAAACACCGTTTAGGTTCAGCCCTGGCATCCCCCCCTATGCCCAGTCCCCTCCTATCATTGCCCCTACAGTGCCGTTTTAAAAACCTGCTCCGCGCGCGGATCATGTATCAACAATGCAGGGATTTTGTATAAAAAAACAGCGAGGGGTTCATGTACAAATGTATGCATACATTGATCCTGGATCAAAAATCCTATATGCTTACAAAACCCATGCACTAAAAGCTGCCCTGAGCGAGGAGTGCCCGCGCACGCCGCGCAGGGCACCGCAGGGAGGCGACTGCCGCTGTGCCGAGCCGGGCCCCGGGCGGGGCCGTCGGCCGCGCGCCTCCGAAGGGCGGCGGGGGCCGAGGGCCCAGCGGGCCTTCGGGGCTCTCGCGGAGAGACAGACAGCTCCCCCACGCGCCGGGGCGCGGTCCCACTAGCAGGGCGCGTTTAGACTCCTCCGGCTCGATTCGATTTCGGCTTCGGTGGCTCCCGATTTGGATTCGACTCGACTTGGGATTCCGATTTTGGCTCCGATTTCTCATTAGAGGCATACTAGCCTCCCGATTTCTGGCGCGAAGATCGGGACAAAATCGGATCGGGATATCTCGAAATCTCTGAGAGTCGGCGGGTTTGGAGGATGTATTGGGCGCCGCGGCCGCTCCAGAGCGTTCCGGAACGCTCTGAGAGCGCTCTGGAACGCTCTGGAGCGATTTATCCCGATCCTAGCCCTGTTTTAGGCCGAGGGCCCAGCGGGCCTTCAGGGTTCTGTCTCGCGGAAAGACAGACAGCTCCCCCACGCGCCGGGGCGCGGTCCCACTAGAAGCCTCGTCAAAAATAAACAGAAACGCAGTTGGAAATCACGACGATCGATCTTCTCGGGCACTTGTTAGAAACTGCGTTCTGCAATGCTGCGGAGGGGTCGTCGGATTTTTGAAGCCCTTGCGTCCACGTCAGATATTTAGCGTCAGCATTGGAGTAGCGCTGACCATACAATCACTGAAAACAGAATCCCTCAGTTTATTTTTGACGAGGGTTGTCGGAACGGAGCGGGGGCGCCGTGGCGCCGGAAAGAGTGGGAGCCTCAGGTGATGAAGAAGAAGTCCTGGAGTGGGTCGTACATCTCGTCATCTTTGCGTGATGTAAGAACCGAGAGTCCGTAGCCATTTTGGCTCAAGTTGCCATCTCTCGAGGTGGCGCAGGGCCAACAGCGCGCTCCAGGACTGGCCCGGCCCGCGTCTCAGGGGTCAGCCTGCGAGCATCTCTTTCTGCTTGTGAGCACCTGGCGGTGCCACACTCTGTACGCAACATTCTCTCTCAGAAGCAGTTTGACAGAACGGCCCGTCCTCCGCCATGGCGAAGGCCACAGGGCCAGCGGCGTGGGTTCAGTGCGAGAAGTGTGGCCCACGCTCTTGGACTCCTATTGCTAGCGGCAAGCAGTGGTGTCATCTTTGCGGGCTCTACTATAACAAGGGTGATCAGCCTCAACGTGGAGCCCGTCGCCGCAAGGGCGGTGGCAAGAGCGCAGGCGGCGGCATGGGCGCGGGCGGCGCAGGCGGCGCCGCAGGGCTCTCGAAGCAGCAGCTGGATGCCATCGCCAAGCAGGTCACCGCCATCGCAGCGGCCGCCAACTCAGCCCAGTCGCCAGCAGCAAGCAATTCTGCCGCGGGCGCTGCGCCTGGCCACGGGAAAGGTTCGCGCGGCACAGGCAAGGGCAAGGACATGGCAGCGCCCCCACCAGAGGCGCCCGCCACCAACGACAAAGACAAGAAGATCGAGCAGCTCGAACTTCTCGTCAGCACCTACCAGCAGATGGACGCCACCGTCATGCCCGATGTGGCCGCCAAGCTGCAGCAGGCCCGAGCGGACCTGGTGGACGCGCGCGCGGCGCAGGCAGCCAGCCTGCCGCCTGCGCAGCGCATGGCGCGCTGCCACACGCGCGCGCAGCGCGCGGCTGAGAAGGTTGAGAAGATCAAGCACCAGATGTCAGAGCTGGAGAAGACCAAGCAAGAGCTGCAGTTGCAGCTCGACGCTACCAACCAGTCCATGGAAGAGCAGAAGAAGCGACTCGAGCAGGCCCATGAGGACCAGCAGCGCGAGGAGCAGGACGCCAAGTCAGTCTGGGCAGACACTGCCCCCGATGAAGGACCTGGCTCGCTCGCGGAGTTCACCAAGGCATCCAAGGCCAAGATCGCGGAGGCCAAGACCAAGTTTGCAGGCAATGCAGACATCCTCAAATTTATCAACGACATGTCCAGCATGGTGGGGGCCCTGCCTGAGAAGGCAACACCGCCGCCCCAGCTAGGAGGAGTCGGCTTGCAGGGGGGGGCGGGCGCGGGGGGGGCGCCAACGACCGCGCCGATTCCATCGCGGCCCGCTGCCCCTTCCTGGGGCTCTCAGGAATCCTCTTGGCCCAGTCGGCCTCGCAGTCGGCGCTGGCGTCGTCGCCCGCGAGCGCCAGCCGGCGGGCGGGCCGACCTTGTTGCGCATGTTTGGCGCGAGAGACCCGCGCAGGCCTCGCGCTGCGCCCGCGCCCCAGGGCGACGGCCCAGGCCCTTGTAGCCTCCCGCGCTGACGCGATGGCCTCGCGCGCGCGCAGGAGCGGGCGCCGCCGACCGTTCGGTTCGGTCCCGCGCACTTCTAATGCGAGAACGCAAAGCCCTCCATGCTGCTCGCGCGCTTTGCGCGCTGAGCAATGCGATGCAGTTGCGACGGCCGCGCGTTCAATTTGAAACCGCAACGCAAGTTTCCATTCCCGCGCGCGGGGCGGTGCATGAACTTACAGATGCGCCGACGGTCGAGAATTCGCGCGCGCGCCCGCGCCTGCCATGTTGGGCGCGCGCACTGGGCCCGGAAATCTGTGGCTCGGCCGCCCGATGCGCCCCAAAAGTCGCCCCGCCCCCCCCCCCCCGCCCCCCTCCCCCTCAAAACTCTTCCGCGCTCCTGGAAAAACCACGCCGCCGAGGCGGGAGCTCGGGCCGCGGCCTGATGGTCTCCGGGGCACAGGGGAATCAAAGGAATCAGTACGGAATCAGTACAGAATCAAAACAGAATCGGCACAACTGCGACCCCTGATTCTAGCGGAATCAAAAGAATCAGTACGGAATCAATACGGAATCAAAGGTGGAATCGGCGATGGAACCAGAATCGGCCAGAACGGCGAAGTAGGCCAGAATCGGTGCCAGAACTCATGCAGAGAGGCCTTTTTCCCGCGAGTTCACTGCGGCGGGTGCGCGGCGCGGGCGCGCCGCGCGACTTCGCTGGTTCAGCGAGGCGCGCAGTCGGCGTTCAGAGTGAACAGGTTCTTTTCAGGGCGATATCCTGGCGGCGCGCTGGCGCATTGCGCATTTGCGCATTCCTGGCGGGCTGTTTGAGGGCGACCCGGCAGCGTCGGCCGAATGGCCCGCAAATACCGCGCGGCCGATCGCGCGCCCCGTGCGGCCACGTCGACCGCCGTGTGCCGCGACGGCCGCGCGCCCCGGACCGCGCCATTGCCGCGTTGGATTGGACGGCGCAGCGCCCGTCCTCCAAAAGTCGTCACGCGCATATCGCGCGCGTCGAGCCAGCAGCAATCGCTCCCAGAAACAGCCTCGACAGGCGCACCATGCCCTCTGTCGCCCGGTTCCGATCCAAATCATAGTTTCTTAGGATGCGCTTGCGCGAATGTGGGCGCGCGGGCAAGTAACGCGTGCGCGCGCTTGGCGCAGCCTGGGAAATCCAACATGGAGCCCCCCGGGGGCGCGGGGCGC